GTCATGGCTGTGTGTGACTTTGATATGTGTTTTACATTTTTGTCTGTTGGGTGGGAAGGATCAGCACATGATACACGTGTTTTTCTTCATGCGATTAACACACCAACAATGAATTTTCCTCATCCTCGACAAGGTTTGTTTTTGTTTTTTGATTAAATTTATTTACTTCGATATATTATAGTCATAATATTTCCTTTATTTAATCTCACTTTTCTTAAATTTTAATATAGGTCAATATTATTTGGTTGATAAGGGATATCCGGATAGACTGGGATATTTAGTACCGTATCCCAAAATAAGGTACCATCAATCGCAGTTTCAAAGAGAGGCGCCAACCAATGCTAAAGAAACTTTTAATCGTGCGCATTCATCTCTTCGTAGTTGTATTAAGAGATCATTTGGAGTCTTGAAGAAAAGATGGAAGATTCTTCACCAAATGCCACAGTATAGTGTGAAGACCCAAATTGATATTATTATGGCCGCATTTGCATTGCATAATTATATTCGCATTAACTCAGTCGATGATCCGTTGTTTACAGTGTTAGAACAGCAACCAAATTATGTACCCGAAGATGAAACTCAAGATGAGCTCGAGGATCTTGATGAGAATAGTAATTCTTCAAGAGGGACAACTTCTGAAATGAGGGAAGTTCGTGATAACATTGCTCGCTTATTATGGGAGTCAATGTGATAAAATACTTTCAAGAGGGACAACTTCTGAAATGAGGGAAGTTCGTGATTTTATTACCTCTTTACTAAGATTCAAGGTGCTAGTTGTGTTTTTCTTTTGTCCATTTTTGTTTTATAAATGTCAGGTTTTAACTAATATTTTACAAGTATTATGTAACTTTCCTTAATTATACATTGATCAAATGCTTTCTTGTTAAAAGAATGCTGTCTTTCCATATATCTGCTCACTGATCTCTTCACTTTTACATTGCCATCTCCAGCATGTTGCTGTAATGGATTATTCTTTACTGGTGGGAGTTGATGAAGTGAAGCATGAGCTTGTTTTGAGAATTATTGATTTCATGAGGCAGTATACGTGGGACAAGCATCTGGAGAATTGGGTTAAAGCGTCAGGTATTTTGGGTGGACCAAAGAATGTTGCTCCTACTGTGATTTCACCCAAACAATACAAGAAGCGTTTCAGGAAGGCCATGACTGGATATTTTCTTGTAGTTCCAGATCTGTGTACGATTTATTGAGGGCAATTGATTCTAGTTGTATCTTGAGCACATTATGTTATCAGATTTTTCTTATTATACTTTTCTTCCTTTTCCATTATGCAATTTTTTTATTAATGTGAATATGCAACATCTTTTGTTTATCCCTTCATAATTTTTTATTCTTTGATGAAGACATGAAGATCAATGTGTTGCTGCATAGTTTATTTGCAACGATGGCTCTTTTTCTTTTTGAAATATTTTTTGTTGAAGTTTCACGCATCAAGAAATCTCATCTGTGTACATTTTCTTACTTTTATAGTGATAAAGGTGAGGAATGAAAATAGGCAAAAAGATTTAAAAACATAGGTTTGCAGGTACATATATCTGAGTGACATCAGAAGTGATGCAAAGTCTGGCTGGACCTTGTTCATGGGAAAGTCTCATCTTTCTATTATTACAAATTTGTATCTTTTAGAGTCTTACCTTCCCTCCCAATGTGATTTCCATATAAAAGGACATGGTTCCGGTTGCATGAATATATCTAAGCTTATCTGGTGTAGAACTGAGATGTACCCATTTTATCTCTGAATTCTATAATTGCTTACTTTTTTATATGCAATATGTGATAGGTTAGGCTTATATTTTCTATAATTATATGTGATAGGTTAGGCTTATATCTTCTATAATTGTACGGCTTACCCTTTTCATGATTTTCCCTTCTGGCATTTCATCCTCTGCAACATTTACTAGAAATGGAGCTAACATGTATTCTGTATGCGGTTTTGTTTTGTTTTCTGAAGAGAAATGGTGTTTATAGTTGCATTTATCAATGTTTCACTTTCTTGTATTAGTATAGATTACATTATATAGATAGTACTAAGGTACTGAGAAGGGTTCTGGTTGGGTTGTATTGTTATCTGGTTGGGTTCTGGTGGTGTGTCTATATGTGTGTGCGCACACATGTACGTAGAGGTGTATATTAATAATATTATGTCCTTTTTAGTCATTTTCAAATTTCAGCTAGTTGTACAGTTACTTTTGCCAAACAGATCTACTTCAATCAGCTAGCTACACAGCTATCAGCTTTCAGCTATAATTTCACAGCTTTCAGCTAGCTTAACAGCTTTCAGCTATAATCTCGTAGCTTTCTTTCAGCTAGCTTAACAGCTTTCAGCTATAATCTCGTAGCTTTCAGCTAGTTTTGCCAAACAGAGCCTTACATTACTTTGTTCTTAGGGGAAAATGTCTCTGCATTTGTGCTTTCAGAATTATTTTACTACCCCTAAGTTATTTTTTGTTTATCACTTGCCTGTCCTTTATATTAGTATCCTGTGTATCATTTTATCATTTAGCTGATCACAAGAGCAAAATTGACCAGCATGTTGGTGCACCATTTGTATAAAAACGATCCAAAAAAAGATTGTTCAATAATTTATTTTAAAGTACATCAGATGTCTAACCACTTAGAACAAAAAATATAGCAAGTAACAATGAATATAAACTTATACCAAACAAAACCGTTAAAATACAAAATGAGTTAAAAATAGGTTGATTGGGTATTTTGTGTCGATGAGTGAATTGGAATGGGTGGGTTAAAAAATAAATGACGGTGAACTTTGGGCTTTTTTTTCTTTTTTCTGGTTTTTTTGATTGGG